TTAAAGGTGCCACAGGACCCTCTGTTGCTTTTTACAGATTCAGACTAACACGGCTACCCCTCTGATACTCTACATATTACATATCTGATAAAACTGGAGATGTCATAGTCATCAGTAATAAATCCAGTATAAATACTCAGATATTAGCGGTTACAGCTTCAACCCACGGTAGCATAGAAATGTACTTGCACTTTCCAAGTGTGGCAGAGTTCCAGCCATAATAACTAGCAGTGCCCATTGGAGAGCTCACGTATCCCTTCCTATCCTTCCTTTCCCTGGTTCCGGAACAGTCTAGGGGCCAGGCTATAAAAGGGGCATGGTGATCCACAGCTGCCTCTCCGGACATTTGATACAGATGCTAAAACCCCTCACATAGTTCTTCAGGTGGAGCTAAGGATAGGAGTTAATTTATAGTGTAGTCAGTTAGGGCAGTTTAGTTTTAAAGTAAGAATTTTAATAAATAATTCAAATGGTGGCTCTGAAGAGGAAACCTGGATTCAAACATGTCTCCTGTCTGGAGGTGTTTTCCACATCAGATGCATATTCTGGATGCCTTACTTACTTTGGAAAGGGATGCCCTTCATCGAAGTGCTCAATCTCTATCATGTGTACTCCAAGAGCTAAGAAGGAGAGCCAGCTAACACAGAAGCTGAAAAGACATCAGATACAGGGGATAGGCAGAGAATATCCTCTGGGTTAGGATAAATAGAAATCTTATGGACCTCCATCCATTCTGATTGTACCTTCAACTCCAGCAGCCTCTGCTGTGCTACCTTCAAAGAAAGGGAAGGATGTGGCTAAGAAGGTCTCCAAGTCTGTGGATCTGCATCAAGATGAGATAAATGTGCTTTGGAAATGGCCTCTGCTAGCAGAGCCATTTCGAGAATGAGAACTTTATCTATGGCACATACAAGTTCTGTGAGCAGAGCTAAGACACAGGTATGAAACCATTCAGAAACAGTGCATAACCAGGTACCTAATACTTTTGACTCTTAAACCTGTGATTTAGGGAGTGCAACCCCAGCCAGTGAGAACTGCTCTTGTGCAACATTCTGAATCCACCTCCCTACTCATTATCCCACAGTAATGGCTCAGCTCCATCCTGCTTGAGTCCTCATCAGTCTTGGATCCAGCAAAAGATCAACAGCAAATAAGAGGAGCTCTTCTCCAATGCTCCCTTCTTTACCTCCAGAGGATAAGAAGAGAAGAGAGGAACGGCTATTTTCACCACTGGTTCTGCCCCTCAAGACACCTTTCAAGTCTCTGAATGTATTATTTCTATGATCAGTTCTACGAGGTCCACCACAGTCACCTCTATGCTCACCATCGGATACAAGATCGGAATAGCTATCAGCAGATACCATCATGCCCTTCTCGACTGCCCTTCAAGAAATATCAGAACCCTAAATCCTTTCAGCATTATGGTCAAGGGTATTAATCAGATCCAGTGACTGAATCCTGGCCAGAATGGCATTGACTGTTTTGACCCTATTGGTTGGCTCCATATTACACATATTACTTGTAACTCAAGAGACCACATAAAGGATGTCTATAACTACTGTAGAGGGCTGTGGCCATCGCTCCCCATCAGTCTTGGAGGGATGCTACGCACCCCACACTACCACTTATCTATAAAGGCAAGGCTCAATGGGGAATTAGCAGTATCAGGGCTCTAGCCCTCGGGATGGGGCAGAGCAAGAAGCAGTCTCAGAGCTCTGGCCCTCTGGGCAGGGCAGAGCAAGAAGCAGTCTATAAGGCTCTGACCCTCTGGGCAGGGAAGAGCACTAAGTAGTCTATTGCCTACCTTCAGGCTCAGGAGGATAGGGAGAAAACACTGGCCTCTTGGCCTAAAGTGGGTAGACGGCCACCCCAGGGTGAGGCAGCTGCATGGGGTAGGTGGACCCAGGCCCACCCTACTCCACCAGGTCCTAGCCCAGGGTCCTAACAATGGCGGATGGTTCTGCCACTGGGTCAGCGGGGATCCGTCTGAAACACACTGACCTGAATTCTGCCAACAAAACTGGATTATCATCTGGTATCCCTCTGCTACTTCCTACTACCCCTTTGGCATGTACCTCTATCTCCTGGGATTCCTGTATCTTCCCTGGGTACACAGCCAACGGCAGTCCCAATAGCTCCACCGGGTCCTGGTCTGTCAGTAGTCCTGGTACGTCCTCTGGGTCCTAAGCACAGCAGAGCTCCATCTCGGGCATAGGGCTCAGCAGCAGGAAAGCAATGTCTACTTCCTTTTCCAGCTCTTGTGCAACTGAGCTGCAGGACCCACCTTTTAAGGTTCCTGTACTGTCCCTCTGCTTCCTGCGGGGTGGGTGTGGCTTACCTAGCTCTGCCCACCATGGGATGAAGAGTGGTTTATCCCCATCAGTCTCAGAGGGAGGCCACGCCCCTCTCACTACAACTACCTTTTCTGAATTGGAGATTCTCAGACCTGACTATGGAAGGTAATTATCACCCTCAATTGCCTTCTGTGACAGCAAACACTTTGTCTGAAGAGGAGGAACATATTCAGATACAAGACATTCAAATCCAGGCCAATAACTTCCCCAAAATAATTGCTAGAGCAGGGGTTGTCAAACTGGGGGTCGGGACCCCTTGGGGAGAAGAGGGGGGGGGGTTGCAAGCTGTCACAGACCACTAAATTTCTCCAAAATAATTCCTAGAGGATATATTATAGAAAAACACCCAATCTTGATATGAAAATTGTCAGTGATGGAAACTCCATCGCAACACTTGGTAAATTTCTCTAATGGTTAATTATCTTCATTGTTAAAAATGTACACCTTATCTCCAGTGTGAATTTGTCTAGTTTCATCTTCCAGCTATTGGATCGTATTATACTCCTCTCTGCTAGACTGAAGAGCTCAATATTAAATATTTGTTCCCAATCTAGGTACTTATTGACTATAATCAAGTTATCTCTTAACCTTCTCTTTGTTAAGTTAAATAGATTGAGCTGTGAGTCTCTCACTATAAGGCATGTTGTCTAATCCTTTAACCATTCTTGTGGCTCTTCTCTGAACCCTCTCCGATTTATCAACATCCTTCTTGAATTGTGAGCACCAGAACTGGACACAGTACTCCAGCAGCAGTAACAGCAGTGCCAAATACAGAGGTAAAATAGCCTCTCTACTCCTACTCGACATTCCCGCTTATTCATCCAAGGATCACATTAGTCCTTTTGGCCAGAGCATCACCCTGGGAGGTCATGTTCAGCAGATGATCCACCATGACCCCCAAATCTTTTTCAGAGTCACTGCTTTCCAGGATGGAGTATCCCATCCTGTCAGTACAGCTGATGTTCTTTGTTCCTAGAGGTATAAATTTACATTTAGCTGTATTAAAACACATATTGTTTGCTTCTGCCCAGTTTATGAAGTGGTCCTCATTGCTCTCAACCAGTGACCTGTCCTCTTCATTATTTACTACTCCCCCAATTTGTGTCATCTGCAAACTTTATCACGGATGATTTTATGTTTTCTCCCAGGTCACTGATAAACATGTTAAATAGTATAGGACCAAGAACTGATCCCTCTGGGACCCCACTGGAAATACACCCACTCAATGACAATCCCCGTTAACAATTATATTTTGAGACCTATCAATTCACAACCCCTTTCCAAAGCATTTGGAAACACATCTATATCATCCCCTTCCCTAAAATGAGGAAGTAATTTGGAGTCTATACCACCTACCAGGACAAGTACCTGAGGACTAGTTCTACCTACTGCAGAAGTGGGAAAATTACAATCCGCGGGACCCGCCTGCCCGGCCCCTGAGCTCCTGGCCCGGGACGCTAGCCCCCGGCCCCTCTCCTGCTGTGGCCCCTCCCCTGCTGTTCCCCCTCCCCCCGC